GACCAATCCGTTATCTACGATTCCTGAAAAATTAAAACCAATCCAATCCGTTTAAATCATGGAACCAATCCGAACCAATCCATTTAAATACGGATTGGATCGGTTTAGGACCACGAATTCACATAATTAAATAACAAAAATATATATATATATATAACACTTTAATTTCATAAAAATATAAATATAGCGCTATATCATTTCCATAATAGCAACATGTTTTTCTATAATAGTGACATATTGTTCTTGAATTTAAACAACCATAAGAAAATACAAACAAAAGTAATAAAATAAGATATTATACGGTTTTAGGTTTGAGTTTAGATTTTATATAGAATAAAAGAAGATACTATGGGGGAGGATATACAATAAAAATATAGACTATTTGTATACGGTCCGGATCGGTTCCAATCCGGAACCGCGGGGTTCAATCCGGAACCAATTCGTGGACTACGGATTTTTAATTCTTCAATCCGGAACCGAACCGCGGATTCAAAAAACTAATCCAAACCTATCGGATTGGACTGGACTGGATCGGATTACGGATTTCACGGATTCCTTGCTCAGCCCTACCGTTATTTATGAAAATGTACTACTAGATGACCTGTATAATATATTCTTTTTTTTTTAAAGAAATATTTGATTATACGATGTGTGTTATAAAAGAATGGTTTTAATTTTAATTTAAACTTAAACTTAAAATTAAAGTATAATTTTAATTATTTATTTTGATAATATTGACGCTATCGTTCTATAAAAGTGTTACTTGAATACTTATATATATATATATATTAATTTTAGTTAAATTATTTGTGTATTTTGATAATTTTACTTCTATCATACTATAAAAGTGTAATTATCGTATAATAATTTTGTATGATATATATTAAATTATAAGATAGTAAAATAAATACTCATTTTAATATTAAAAATAATAGTTAAATTAGAAGAAGAATTAGTATCATAAAATTAAAAATAATTCTAACTATTTAATTTTCTTTCACATTCATTTGGAAAATAAAAATATGTAGAAATAGAAACTTTATAAAATATATTGAAAAAATTAAATATAAATATGTTATAATTAGATTATCATATAATTATTTTATATGATATATATATTATATATTAAATTATAAGATCATAGAATAAACACTCTTAATTAAATTAAAATATCAACTATATAAAATAAATTCAACAACCACTAACCAAGAAAGAATCGCCTAATAACATCTAAACTAAAAAAATAATAAATGAAAATATTCAAACGAAGATACGTCTCAGTGTGAAAAGTGATTAATCATCTTTAATATGATATCAAAACATAAAAAAACTTACTGTTCAACAATTGAAAAAGTAACGCAATCAATAAATCCAAATTTTAAAAATTCTTCAAGAGTATCATTGTTGTAATTATATAAAATAATGTAGGAAAGATTTTGTACAATTAAAGTATAATCCATATAGAATTTGTAATTAGATTTCATGTAAAACTCAAATTAGGTTTGTGAAAGAAGTAATTCTCAAATAGAGTCCATAAAAAAATTGATATTGAGTTTATGGATTATCTAAATTTACGATGAAAAATATATAAAAAATAATTCATATAAAATAGGTAAAGTTAGTATAATTTAAATTAAGTTTGTATAAAACTTCATATGTAAATAGAAAATACATGTTAATGTGACTTTTTTTAAAAAAAAAGAAAAGAGAGTAAACCCTTAGGATGTGTCACATAAGAAAAGAAAAAACACAACTTATATATATATATATATATGATCTAAATAAGTACACTTTTTAACTTTTTATGTGCAAAAAAATAAAGAGGTGATTTGATCCTAAAAAGACAACAAGTGTGTACTTATTAGTACACCCCAAACAAGTATTTAATGTAACTTACAATAACGTGGCATGATAGATGTAAATTTTTAATTTGTTACAAACTCAATCATAGAGAACCAACTTTCTTGTCATATTATATATTTTGGGTGTATTTGTAAGCTAAAATTGTAGGTCTGTACCTTTTCTCAAAAGTTGAAGCCCCTTAAAACATGATCTGTAAATTTAACCATAATAAATAAATAAAAAATAGGAAACACTATTGAGTGTGTACCATATGCACCTTATAACTAAAAAAAAAAAATATGGTATAACTTCAACTTTTTAAGTCATAATTATATATATATGTATCATAACTAAACACAACACGAGACATAACTAAAAAACTCGTAAGTCATATTAAAATAATATCATAACTAAAGAAGAAAATTGATCATAATTAAAGAAGAAAATGGTATAACTACGAGTGCGTATGATACATCCTTTTAAAAAATATATATTATAATTTTCCTAAAAAAATATAGTAGTTATTGATTAATTTAAAAATTAACTATTTAGACCCAAGCACCTATCACATTATTAGCGTCTGTTTGGGAAGCCAATCCCAGGCTAAAGTAGCCAAGTCACGACAAAAAGGCTAATTAGCCAAGTCACGACAAAATGGAATTGAGCGGGTGTTGGGCGAGGCTGTCTCGTGCGAATTTACCGAATTGCCCCGAGAGGCTAAAATCTGTCCATCTGCAAAACGCGGCTCACATTAGAGCTCATACACACCCATTGCAAAGCTGAGGAGAAGAAGAACGGAGCTACTGGAGGCCGTCGGACCGACCTTGGCAGACGAAACCGCAACCGGAGATCGAAACCGCGGCGGCGAACAACAACCAACTCTCTCACACTCAAACCGATCTGCAGGTGATGATCTATGGCCTATTTGATTTGTTTTCTCTTCTTCCCATCTGCGTAGTTTATGTTCATAACAGCATCGGTTCATGGCCGATCTGTTGGCTCACGGTCGTTATTGGGTTGATTACACTGATATTATACACAGACCGGCCACCGATCTGTCTCATCCCTAAATCTCCTCTTTTAGATCTGTTGTGATGTTCGAAATCTGTTCGCATCCAACAAATTTGGGGCAGATTTGTATATATACATATATATATATATATATATATATATATAATATCTGATCTGATTCAAATAGTTGGTCTGCGAGCGTCCAATCGAACG